GTTTCTGACCTTTTCTGTCTTATTGACACAGTCATATATTCTTACTTGGACTATATTACATAAATTACATTTGGCCTTTCTGCCTATATGAAAGACAAGTTATGAGCCTATGTACATAAATTATATATTCCTAGTTAGGTTGCACAATGAAATGCATTTGTCGAGTAGCCTATACATAAAGTTCCTTTAAATGCATTTGGAACAGTTTATGCCTACATGTATAGAGTGAATGGCTGCTGTGTGTGCTAATAACAGAAGTGTGAGGAATAGACTTCCTACTTTTTTCAGCAAGCATGTGCTTAGATTTTACATTTGCATTTGTAATGCCATCAGTTTTTGGTTTAATGTCATCATTGAAAGAATAATGGCTGATGAGTAAGGAGTTAGATTCATAAAACTTGAGAACTAGGAACAGGTCTTGTAGATGAAATAATTCTACCCCTCATGTCCAATCATGAGGCTACTGAAGCCAGAGAGATAAACTGATTTAGTTCAGTAGATACAAAAAGCAAAAGTCATACCAGATCCACACAACCATCTTCTACTGTGTCACTCTGCTACTGTACATTAGACTTGTCACTTTTGTCACTTTTAAATGTGCTCATTTTTGTGCAAATTTGGAGTAGAAATCTCACTTGTCATCTGTTAAAAAAAAAACTTGTAAGATGTCAGGAGCTTATGATATGAGAGATCGGTGTTCAAACCCAGTTTTAGAGAACTGAAAGTGTGTTCTGATTTCTAGTTTTGTGTTGAGTGATGTGTACTTCTGAATTTCAGATGCTCTTGTTTCAGTAGTGCTGATTGTGACTGGTGCTCCATTCACCAGAGTTTTGTCAAGTATAATATTACCCTTATGTTTTGTGAATCAAAGCTTATTTTACACCAAGGTTTCTTTAATGTCAACACAAATCTAAGCATATTGCCGACAGAAGAATTGTGATACAGAACACATTTTGTTATCTTTTAGCCCATTAAGCCTTTGAGCAGTTGTTAAATGAAATAAAAGGAACATAGTTTATAAATGGTAGAGTCAGGGTTTAAATTTTTTGTTTGAGTAATACTTTTAGGACAGCACTTGCTCCATCTGATCTAATTTGTGGTTATTTTTAGCATTTATTGAGCAAGTTAATCCTGTGGAGAAGAATTAAAGCCACAGAATGCAAAAAAGCATTTTTATGCAGTTACATTTCAATAGAAATGTGACATGTTCTACAGGTCTGGTTTTATGATTACGTTAATGCGTTTAGGTCTTTAAACTTTTTGCTCATGTACCCCTTGGATACATATAAGTTGACATATATAATTTTGCCCCATAAGATTCAAATAATTGCCAAGAATGTAGTTTCTAACATTCTTGTATTGTTAGATGTATTGATGTATAATAGTAAAACTGTAGTATCACTCTTTTAAATATATTCAGCTGAATTTAAGTACCAGAGATATTTGATATCCACTATCACTCATTAAAAAAAATGGAAATAGAATTGTTTTTTTAATTTCTTATGACAATAAGCTTCTAAGTACTTTTGAAAACCTCTTCTGGATTGAGCAATTAATACAATTACTATTTATAAAATTAATCAAACCCTAATGAGTATATTATAATTTTGCTAAAGGATTATTAAACAAAAAATAAATTGACTGAAATGCATTGCTTAATAAAGTGGAAGGAGGCTGGGTTAGACATCTGGACAATGACTCCCTTAGGTACTATACCTTGTGCCAAGTCCTCTTGTATTTTTGTACATACCCTAGTTTTAAGACTACTGCCTTAAGTGACAGGCTGAAATTTTACAGGAGATTATTGCAGTTATCCAACATCATTTAGTGACTAAGAGCAGACATTCTAGAGGCAGACCAAGTGGACTTGAATTCTATCATTAGCTCTGAGTCCCAGCTGGCTCTTTCTCTAATTGTATGACGTTGGGAAAAATCTGCTAAACTCCACTGTTCCTCTGTTTTCTTACCTGTAAAATGAGGATAATGGCTGTTGCATAGGTGAAATAAAATGGTGCTTCTAACATGCTTAGAAGAGTGTCTGACACATGCAGGTGAGCTGTACAGTCAATTCTAGATAATCTTCAATTCTTTTTAGAGTTTTATAGATATAAAAGTGTCTGTGAGCATTTCTCAGGCAGATTTAAATAATTTGAGAATTACCCATTGATACCTCCCTTAACTCTATCCTAGTTGATCAGATAATTTCCTACATTTCATATAAGAAACTAGTAAAAAATTTTCCCCATACATGTGTATGCATTCATATATTCATGTGCACCCATATGTCCGTTTAAGCCTGTGGGTACCTAATGTCTGCCCATGACAGGGAAGCAAGTTATCTTCAGCCACAAATATTTATCGAACACCCACTGTAAGTGAGAATTATATCTAACAGACAAAGAAGAGAAAAATCAACTCTAAGACGTGCCATTACAAAAAGACTTACAAGAGGAACAAAGATTAATAAACCAATTTTGAGAATAATATGAATTTAAAAAAATAACATAATAATCTCTCTGATTTGAAGAGAAGCAGTGAATTTAGAGTAACCTATACAAGGAAGTGACATAGGCAACAGGAAAAGCAGGATGTGTAGGGAGAAACAAAGCTGTTTATGTCCTAAATTTGTAGATCAATTAATAATAATGCCACATTTAAGTGAAATCAAGGTACAGACATTGGAATTCAGGTTATGAATGTCTTTAATTTTTCTTTCTAAGAATCGCTATAAAACTCATTAAGTACAAGATGGTAACTCAATTTCACTACTAGAAATTTTTGCCAGTGCTCCCTGAACTGAACTCTGTTATATTGTTTGGAAACATAAGGATATATTGGGTTGTCGGAAAAGTCATGACATATTTTTTCTAGGTTTTTCGTGGCAAAAATGTGTCATGACTTTTCCAACAACTCAATAATTGTTCCAGTGTATTTCTTTTATATATCCTGTTTATCAGAGCCAGTAATTTACCATTAAGATACTTTCAAAGTATGTTTTTTTGAATTTATATTCACATTCATCTCCTTTTTCCCTAGTACACATTAATTGAATAGGGACGAACTGGAAAATTGAGAACTTTGATATGAACATTGGTATTCCCTAGACTGTGGGATGGATGAGGAGACGACATTTTCTCTTGAGTGTTACATCAAGGATTTCTGCCTTTGTAATTCTATACCCTGTTTAATTTGGCAATCATCTGGGGAGATTAAACTCCCAATAATGTACAGCATTTGACAAATTTTAGCTAATTAGGAATAATTTTGTTGTGAAGGTTATTATTCCTTTTGAAATAATTAGTACCATATATCCTACAATATCCCAGAATCAATGGGAATTATTGTTACATTTGTGTAAAAACATTGCTTAAATAAGGTAGATCTTTTATTAGGCCATACATAAGGCAGGAAACTTCTTAGAATGTCACATTCTTTGGTGGACCTGGAAAAAAATACTGCAAAATTTGATTTTAGCTCACATGGTTATTAAGGGTTCCTCAATTTATGTTTAGATATATTTTAGAGTAGTTGAATATGGAATAAATTTTAATAATGAGATTCCTATTCTGATGTTGGCTTCCATGATAAATTCTGAACTATCTTCCTGGGGTTTTTTAGAAAAGTTGAATAGTCTGAAATAAAGTTTTAGAAAAGAAGTGGGTGTACTTTTTCTACTGGTGTTTTAGGGGAAGGAATTTCTCTGTACTTACACTGTTCCTAATATGTATTCTTTCTGTCATTATTCTATCCTTCCTCAGCCTTTTCCAGGACCATAAGAATTTCTCCCATTTAGGGGTCCCCTTAGTCCTTTCCCTCAATATGTAGAACTTTTCATCCTTCCTTTACCACTGTGTGTAGGCCTAAATGTATTAGGCTACAGAATTTCACTTCTGTGAAGGGCTTATTTTTGGTACATGATATTGTGTAACGCAAACATTCTCTGAGGTCCAAGCCCCATAAACCTATAAATGCAAAAGGAAGTGATTTGAAATTTTTGAAAGTATTACAGACTATTTTAACTTGTGCCATTTTATGGACTTTCAATTACATATATTATTCAAACTAAGCCAACAGTGTTCCCCCAAAACGTTTCTTAGAGAATCTTATAATGCTGGGTTTGGCGAACTTTTGAGACGGAAGAGCTGCCAGGGGTCAGCAAACTGCAGCTCACGAGCCACAGGCTCTGAAGTAAAATTGAAAATGAAAATAAAACTATCATAGTTTCATTTCTAAAATTTCTCAAGGATATTATTCACATAATGGTGATCATGTAAAAATATATTTATGGCTCTCGAATAATTTTTAAATTATTGTCAGGGACAGGATTCGCTCTTCCAGGGGTCGGCAAACTTTTGAGACGGAACGTACCCAAAGAGCCTCATATGGATCGCGAGCTGCAGTTTGCCGACCCCTGTTATAATGAATAGATGGTTTGTTGTTAACTTTTCAGTCAAGTTTGTGTAAATGGATTCTTCTGTCTGATGAATATGAAGCGTGTTCTCTAGGTGAACAAATACTCTACTTTTGGTCTTTTCTGCACAATTATTTTGCTTAGCAATCGATTTTCCACCCTCTTTGGGAATGTTATAAGGAAAACTTAAGCTCTTTCTATGAATAAATGCTTTCCTAAGCTTTTCTACTCTGCTAGTTTTACAGAATGAACCATCAGCAGTTACTTCTCCTTGGATGTCAGTGTGTTCTCTGTTAGTTAACATTGGGTTGTCGGAAAAGTCATGACTTATTTTTTCTATGTTTTTCATTGCAAAAATGCGTCATGACTTTTCCGACAACCCAATGGTAGCATATATTTTAGCTATTCAGTTAACGCATACCGTGTATTGCTATGGTTTTTACATGTCCCCTTATCACTAAGTTAGAAACTCCTTGAAGGCAGCAGCCATGACTTGCTCAGCTCTCTGTTCCCCGTGGTACCAGCTTAGTGCCTTGAATATGAGTGAAGTTTGTGATGAGCAGGAACTCAAAATATTTTTTTTAAACAGATTTGGTCCATTTGACATGTACATCTTCTAAAACAGCAAGAGAAGATTTAGAACCGGTTGTGCAGAAATTGTTTACTCCATATACCGAAATGGAGATAGGTAAGAACAATAATCATGCTCAATAATCCTAAACAGTATTCATGATAGAAAGGTAACGTAATTACTTTACTCCTCTGAAATAGCTCATGAAGGTTTCTCCAACCTGAACTGAAATGTAAAATATCCGACAATAATGCTTACATGTTTTATTAGGATGATTGAGTACACTCTCTCCCTAAAAATGGAAATATATTCACTCTGTAAAGGTAAAGGAAAAATATACAGCGTACACAATGTATATATTTAAGTGCAAAAATATACGTTTATATGTGTGTGTATTCACATGCATAGAAAAAAACACTACCATTAAGTCTCTCAATTTGGGTGGGACTGTAGAAAATTTTTTCTTTTTAATTTTCTTTATTTTACAGGTGTACAGAGAGCATATATTCCTTTATCAGAAAAAGTTATCTTCATTTACATAGAAAAGTTGGCTCTACTGATAGAACGTTAAAATATTAATTGACAAATGTAGGAATCCTTCCTATTTTAATGCATAGCATGCTAGTGGTCTGATATTTAGCTCTTAGATACATATGCCACTATGCTACTTATTCATTGTTAAAAAAAATGCTTTTCAACCACAAATTTTTAAACTTTTCTCCCCACATCATAAGCTAGTTCTTGTAATTCTGAATAGAGCAAATTATAGTGTATTTTGTGTGTAAGCAATAAAAAAATAGCCTGGTGGATCTTCATTTACATGAAGTGATGGTGATTTGCATTATAGGATTTGTATGTCCACTTGAATCATGGTCAGTTTCCTCATTGATTCAAGTATCTTCATTCTCTTTGGATGATTTATATGTTCAAAAAACCATTTATTTACTCCTACCTATAATTTACTTTTAGTTCATCTCATAAGTGTGTTATTGGGTTTCTTAATGCAGACATAATGTGTAGAGGGATATTTTTATTTACATAAGAAAACTGCTCTGTTCTCTGGAGCTAATAGCAATATAATTAATTTCTTTTTGAGCTACCTGAATAAAATCCTACAATCTAAAAAAGTACTTCACTTTAGTTTGGAATTTAATTTATTTCATGTTTACATTTCCTTCATTTGGAAGTCTCATATAAATGTTTGAATTATTGCTAAAAATTTGATTGCAAAGTTATGGTACATGATAATATTCCTAAACATATGTGGAATCATAGTTTCATCCTTGGCTTTAATTACCTTGTTTACAAAAACTCTGAATTCCTTCTTTATTTCTGAAGTTGTTAATAATTTTTGTTGTTTATTTTTATTGTGTGGTAGTCTCAAAGAATCCACTAAACTTGAATCTTGTATCATTACTCTTCACGTTTGAAATGCATTTAAATTTTGTTGGTTTTTTTTTTAAATCATTGAGTTGCGGAAATTACATGTTCATTTTAGATTTTTCTTTAGCAATTTTAGATTTTTAAACATTAATCTTAATGGTTAAAATGATCCTATTTTGAAATGATGTATTGTTTAGAACCTGAGTGAAATTCTATAGTAAGAACTATGTGCTCACAAGGGTCCTCAGGTGCACCGAGGCACTGAAAAGCTAGTTTTCACTGACACATAGGCCTTTTTATCATCAGGATGAGGTAGTGGTCATATTTTAATTAAAATGTCAGAACAAATACTGTTGGAGTTATTGAAAATGAATCACCAGATAAAGTGAGCACTGGGCCATGGCAGGTCAAATAGGCAAAGTCACCTGGAGAAGAGAACTCAATTCATTTTCCTGCTTAAATGAGGAAGAAGGAACTTTATGAGCAATATGAACTTTTAATACATTAAAGCACATTCTTCTCTGTAGCAAAAACCCTGTTTTTACAGATTGATGGCTTTTATTATTGTTGTTTTGCTTGACAATGATATGAAACCTTGTGCTTTAGAGCATTGTAAATATTTTGTTTTAAACTGTGTGCCAAAGGAATAACATTATTTGGGTTTATTTTTTTCTTTTTATTTGAGTTCTACGTTCTGTGTAGTGCTGTGCTTTATAAGCCTTTGTGATTGTCAGCCTATTCATCAGACAAGGAAATTTATGTATTGTAAAAGATAATGTTCTCTTCTCAAATACGCTACTTACTTGCCAATGCAGCTGAGAAATTCCAGTAGGGTTGTAAAGATATTCCCTCTATTCCCTTTCTTTCTTACTTTTTCACATTTAAGGTATCAGCCAGAGCTCTTGTCCTATGCTGTGTCTTAAGAAGCAGTTACACTAATACTTCCAAGAGTATTGGAAGGAGGCTGTGACAGTCTCCTATTCTCTTGGTCTCATGCTACTCAGCTATGTTACTAAAATAGTTTCTCCCAGGCTCCTTTCAGAACATCACAGATCTCTAAACCCTTCCCTACTTCTAGTGCAAAGAAATTTTAGATGTTTTATGCTTAATGAACCTGATCCTGCAGGTGAGAAAATTAGGTGGTTGCTTACCATTCATATGTGCGTTAATTTTTCCAGACTATGGATATCCTTCCAAGCACTGATTGAGCAGAGCAGTATTTTTTAGTCTCACTGGTAGAACTGTCCTATTTTACTCAGGAAATTGAGATTTTTTTAATATTAATTGAAGCAAGAATTTCATTAGTACTATGTCTTGAAATGTCTACAATGTAGTATCATCACTGCATCATTTTCTTTCTCTTTTTCCCTCCATTGCGCATGGCATGTAGAGTTACTTCATTCCATCTTGTTCATTTCCTGTCTCACGACAGTAGCACTTCCTGAAAACAAAAATTCCCTTCATAGTTGTGATTTTGTAGTTGGTGGCTGGTAAGGGTGTTAAATAATGATTGGACTAGGAAGTCAAATGCCATCTTAATTCCTTTTTGGTTCTGTTTTGTTTTTCCAGTTACAGTTGACATTCAGTATTATTTTATATTAGTTTCAGGTGTATAACATAGTTGTGTCCAGCCTAGGTCAAGGCTGTGACAGTCTCCTACTCTCTTGGTCTCATGCTGCTCTATGTTACTAAAATGTTTTCTCTCACCCTAAACTTTGCATTCAACTATAGACCGTGTATTGCTTTGTTGTGTGCCATTGTTGATTTTCACCTGCCTACCTTATTCTGTAATTAACCCCAATTTAATTTGCCCAGGATCCTATTCTCAATTACCTATTACTGTTTAGCTCTTTATATTGTCTAGTTGAATAAAGTGAGATATTACAGAAATCCAGTTCTACTTTTGGCCAGTTGATGTATTCCTAGCCAAACAGAAACTTTAATATTTTTTTGACAATTGTGTACTTCACAACTGCATGTTATTTTTCCAGGTATCTCTGCCTTCCAGCTGACCTCAAAGAAAGATGAAGCAATTATATGTCTCTTTGAGGGTTTTAAGGTCAAAGCCTAATAACTCCCTTGTATCAGGAGCATTTATCTTCAGCCTATGTCAACTTTTCATTTTCTTCATGGCCTCTTTTCAAAGCTTCAACCTCTGAAATTTCTTTCCTCTAACCTATTGGCTTATTCATTTTCCCCAACTTTTATTTAGTGAAAGCCCTCCTCTGAGCTGGAACTTTGATGAAATAAATACAAGATAAACTCTCTTAGTGTATGCTCAGAAATGGACAATATTAAAAAACTTCCAGACCTCAGCCCACTTTTCTGCAGTGCTCCTGGAGTCTGGTGTCAGAACTCATAGGCAATATATTTAATTATCTTTCTGTAACATTTAGTGAAACTAAACTCACCAATAAATTTACTAAGAGCCACATGGTTTTAGCTGCGAAGTATGAGTTCCTTATGTTATTTTTTTGCCAATAAATAGATTTCACCACCTATCTTGTGCTTATGTGAAGTTAATTAGCAACACCTTAGATTCTTCAATCTTACCATTAGGGGCACTTTAAGGGATCACTTCTTCCATTCAGAGTTTCTTCATCCTATCACAATAATCATTATGGATTATTCAGGATGAACTAGAGAAATAATATATTTGGTATTCTTGTAGTAGAAATATTTTTAATTAAATACAATAAAATCCTATTCATCCTGAACTGGGGAATGGGACATTCTTGTTAATTGACTACTGCAATTAGCTGAGAATTTCTCTACATTGATTACCAGTTTAATAATCAAAGTTAATCAACTAGATAATTATACCTTTAGCATTTTCTTTGTGATTCATAAGGTGCCTCATGGTCTTGGGTAATCTTCATACACATCCATTATCATTATATATAATTTGAATTTTTGTTCAGATTCAGGCTAAAGAAAACGCTGCAGTCAATAAATATGTTAACAGCAGCATTTTCTGTTTTCAACCAAAGAAAATTTAATTATAACATTTCTAAGGAAGACAGGCAGAAAAATAATTATTAAGATAGCAAGGAATAGGCTTTAGGTATTCAGGTTAATAATGTTGGGCCTTTTAATAGTAAGTACATCATGCTATGATTATACCTGAAAATAGGATTAAAATCAATTAAGAAATTATTCATTGAGTGTTTGTTGTGTGCTAGGCCCCATATGAGGGAACATTAAAAAGCAGAAGATTAAGGACTAAGTCTGCTTCATCTTTGTATCCCCATCTCCTAAGCCAGTCCCTAACGCACATTATATAGATGCTTCCTGTTAAATGAGAGGATGTGTGCTAAAACAACTTGCAGTCTTGAACCTTATTTGTGTTATTTGTTGGTTGGTTCCCATTAGTTTTATAATCTAGTAGGACAAAGCATTAGTGAGTTAGGATATGAAAGTTTTAATTCTGTATATATTACTGTTAACAGCTTTATTGAGAAATAGTTCACATACCATACAATTCACCCATATAATGTATAAAATTCAGTGTTTTTAGATTCACAGAATTGTTCCAACATTATCACAGTCAATTTTAGAATATTTCTGTCACCCTGAAAAGAAACTTCATATCAATTAGCAGTCATCCCCCACTTACCTCCATGTCCCCCCAGCCCTAGGTAACCACTAATCTACATCTGTCTCTCTACATTTGTCAATTCTGGACATCTCATAATCCTGTATATACTATTGACTTACTATATAATTTTTCAAGTTGGTTTGTCCATGTGAAACATAAGAAAATCAATTTATGCTGTCTTCTTACTTAAAGGCATAATTTAAAGATGAATGTGATCATAAACTCCTTGATACTGATGAGGAGGAATAATAGAAATCCAAGGGAACACAGGTGGAGTTAAATTTAAGTAACTTACTAATAATTAAGATAATTTTAAAAATCAAAGTTATCTTAGGTTGAAAAGCCATTGCTTGAAATAGCATGCACATGTATTAATTAGAGTGTGAAACATTAGTAAATTAGACTTATTGTTTACACACAAAGCTCTGATTTACTATAATATATAGTCATGGCTTTGTTAGTAATTGACTGTGTATTGCAGTAATTGACAGGCATCTTGTGCATTAAATGTAAGTAAAATTTATGTCTACATTTAGAAAATGAAGAAGTTGAAAAGCCAAGACTTCTATGGGCTCTTTACTTCAATATGAGAGATTCTTCAGACGTCAGCAGGAATTCTTATAATGATTTACCATCCAACGTTTACGTCTGCTCTGGCCCAGACTGCAGTTTAGGAAATGATAATGCAGTCAAACAGGTAAGGCTGTTGATATTTCTTGGTCTTGTGTTAAGAAGTAGCTATGGTAGGGAAAGTGAATTGTTTTTATTTTTCCTCTGGGAGGTGGGAAAAGAGACTAGAACAGCATCTCTCTTGTTTAATGCCATCTCTAATTTGTCCCTAAACTTTTTTTTATGAATAAGAAAGCTACTTTAAATATACTTTCAATATGGTATCAGATATTTTCATGTTCTTGAATATAATGATGAACTACAAGAAGTCATTTATGAGCTCCATTGTGTGAATAAGGATGAAAAAATGTTGCAAATACATATTCTGAAAAATGAACTTAAAATGCCAATATTCTAAAGAAACATTGTTTCTAATTTAAACTGTTGGCCTATCAGTGTATTATTTTGCAATACACAAACTTTTTTTCTCTATTAACCTGAATCATTTCAAAAGGAGTGTAACCAGTAAGGCACACAAAATGTAATTTTAAAATGGTCTTAAGGCATTTTCTTAACTTGGAAAAGGACATGTAACTTACAGTTTTTCACAATTAATATGATCGCTTTAAAGTTGTTTTTTTAATTTATTGGGGCAACATTGGTTAGTAAAATTATATAGGTTTCAAGTGTTCATTTCTGTAATACATCATCTATTTATCACTTTGTGTGTTCACCACCCAGAGTCATTTCTCCTTCTGTCACCATATATGTGATCCGGTTTACCTTCGTCTACCACCCTCCTGCCCCCCTTACTCTCTGGTAGCCGCGAAACTCTTGTCTGTATCTATGAGTTTTTGTTTCTTTGTCTTGTTTATTTGTTGCTTTCAGTTTTATATCCTACATATGAGTGAAGTCATATGGTTCTCGACTTTTTCTGTCTGACTTATTTCGCTTAGCATGATAATCTCAAGATCCATCCATGTTGTCACAAATGGCAGTATTTCATCTTATGGCAAAGTAATATTCCATAGTGTATACTACATCTTTTATCCAATCATCTATCGAAGGACACTTTGCTTGTTTCCATGTCTTGGCCATTGTAAATAATGCTGTAGTGAACATCAGAATACATATTTCTTTATGGACAAATGTTTTCAGATTTTTGGGGTAGATACCCAGGAGAGGGATTGCTGGGTCATATGGTAAGAATAGAATTACCATATGACCCAGCGATTCCTTTAAAGTTTTGTCATAAGTCAGTGTCCCAAGAGCTACTTATTCTGGCTGCTGAGAAAAATGTTAAATGAAGGTGGAATTTTGTGACAGCTTCCTAGGCAGGGCTATGCAGAGGTACAGGGCAGGCTGACATAAGCTGCCAAACGTGAGCTATGACTCCATTAAGCTGAAGATTCATAATGCATATACAAATATACTTCTCTTCACTTGACAGAGAAGAGCAGAAAATATTTTTCAAAGCACAAATCTAAACTTTTCACAGACAAAGTTGGCACGTCTGTCAATTGAATCAATAAATGGGTAATTTAACATTGTTCTAAGACCACAGAAAGAAGTTTCGTTTCCACTAGTGACAGGAATCTTGCAGGAGCAAATGGCTTCACTGAGCCTTTAATTTTTAGTCATAGAGGCAAGGCCATGACCCCATACATTTACTGTTTTTTGCCAAATTCTTTATTTCTCATCTTTAGAGCCTAATGGTGATACTGGATAATCATATTCAGCGAGTGATAACAAAAGCAGGCAGTCACCTCTCTCATTCATCATTCATTCTATTAGTTTAATAGGAACCCAAGATGGTTCAAGATCTACATTTATGGCTTAAAATGACCAAGTCATTTTTGCTTTGATGTTCTAATTTTTTTAAGCAGAAATTGCCAGCAAGTTTTCAGCCAGGTAGCTTAGGTCATTTTTATTCCTGAGTGAACTTTAATGTTTTCTAACCAAAATGGAAGGCCTTTTAAGTAAGGGCTTATTATGTAAGTGCTAATGTGATCTAAAATGCAAGCTAGAAGATTATAATTAAAGGGTAGTTTTATTATGAGGTAATTTGCTTCCCAAGAAGATAGTTTTCAAGACTTACAGTGTTATCACAGTAGAAAACAGTCTTAATGCTAGTTTGGGTACTAATTATTACATGCTATTAAATATAAGTAGCTTTAAATTTGTTATATAGCTTTAACTTCACATCAGTTTGGGGAGAAAGTGTAATGCCTACTTTAAATGGAATCAGTAATAGTATTTACAAATGCTAGTTTATTTAGATAAACTTTTCTAATTCCAATATATCATTCTGTGTTCATCCCATTCACTAACTGATGACTTCTGTTTTCAAAACTGTCCATAAAAGCTCCCAGAATATCACTAGGCTTTTCCTAGGTAGAAAACATAAGCACCAGCAGATTTCTTTCTTTCTTTTTCTTTTTTTTTTATAAAGGAAGTGCTTCATTTTACGAGTTATCAAGTTGGCATCTCCTTATTTGCAAACGTATAAATGTTGAATAACATAATCCTGCCTCCTTTGTAGGCATACTGAAAATGTAAAGTGATCTCTGTGTAACACTCATAAATTAAAGTCATGTGCAGGAGCAAACCAAGACATTCCCTGTTATCACCACAATGATGCCAGCCTAAGTGACAGTTGTGATTGTTTCTGTGACTCACTCATTTTTATAGTTTGTATTACTTCCGTTTCTTTCTGAACATGACATATGATCTCTCCTAATACTGCTAGTGTTTCATTTACTCACTCATACTGATGAACAGCCTGGTCCGTGACTTCCTACTCCCAAGGCATTGACAGCTCACTCCTCATTCAGGAGCCTGCATCCCCCAAGAGGTGTCACTACCATAGGAACAGCAGTAGTTAAATAGTACTGTACTCTTTGTATTATACTCAGGTATACAATGAGTTAAATTGGCTGATGTGGGCTGGGCTGGCAACCTAACCACCATTTAGAACATTGTTTTTATGGATAGATGAACAACTCATTTATGACATTTGGCACATCGTTTGTAAGTTGAAGTCCAGCTGTATAGGTCAGATGAACTATCAAGTTGTTCACATATTGCAGTATCATTCATTCTCTCATGTCATTGAGGGAGAGGGCAATTTTAGCTGTCATATACTCTGAAGCTACCATTTATTGAGCATTTTCTATGTACCAGACACTATCCTAAGCATCTTATATATGTTATCTTATTTGGACCTTACAACAACCCTATAAGGTAAGTATCCATGACATCCCCATTATACACACAAGGAAACTAAGGTCCAAAGGGGCTAAATAACTTATCCAAAGGTCACATACTTAGCTGGTAAGTTTTTGAGCCGAGATTTCACCTCAACTCTGTTGGACCCTAGTGCTTATACATTCATCTAACGTGTTGTGCTTTAATCTTGTTAGTGTATATAGATATATCCTAAATACAGTAATACCTTGGTTTGCGAGCATAATTCACTCTGGAAATAAACTACTCATATTGCAAGACATGTTTACCAAGTTAAAATGTATTAGAAATGTTTGCTCGTCTTGCGGAATACTCACAAACCACGTTACTCACAATCCAAGGTTTTCCTGTGTATTAACCACTAGATTGACAAAATATTTATTTTTGTTTTGCATAGATGTATGTTAAATAAACATAGGAATATCTTAAATAACTCAGCTTGCTCTCTTTGTACTTCCTAATATAAGAAAACCAAATCACAATATAATCAGTCCTTAATTTGTTTTAACCACATGAAACTCTTTTTAAGCTAATTCCTGGCTTATAAAGGGTGTGGAGGATTAGAAGTTGACGATTTACTCTGAACTAACCTCTTTATGACAACTCTCAGAACTGAGGCTTAGTTGGCAAATGAAATGCAATAAAGAAAGCTGCATTAGATCGACCTTCAAGAACATGGCAGTCGACTCAAAAAGGTTCCAGCAGTTATAGAAAGAGTAGACCCTTGGGAAAGGCTGGAGTCTGGTAGAAAATTGGCATCAGTAAAGACCAGTGGCACATGGGCTGAAACTGGGAGTTCCCCAGGCAGGTAGAGCACAAATAGGCGTAGTGCGACATCTTGCAATTGGCTGGCAATCTTAGGAGACAAATTGTTTATGAGAGGGATATATGGGAACAGATCGAGTGGGATCCAGCCACAGGGACTGGGGTTCAGGGGACAGTCTATCCTACAGGGAAATGGCAAAAGGGAGACAAGGTGTCAGATACAGAGGAACTAGAGTAGAAATAAAATAATAAGTATTATTAATATTAATACTATTTTATATATAATAATATATATGTGTGTATATATAGAGAGAGTGCATGTGTGTGTGTGTGTGTATATGTATATATATATATATATATATATATATATATATATATATACANAGAGAGAGAGAGAGAGAGAGAGAGAGAGAGAGAGAGAGAGAGGGAGAGAGAGAGAGAGAGGGAGAGAGAGATTGATTTTACTCCATGCCAGGCTCTAAGGATCCGGAGTTGACTAAAACCCAGTCCTTGTCATCCCTGGACAGATTTGTGTATAGTAAAGGAGAAAAATATATAAATAAGGAGCAGTGCAGTATATGCAATAATAGACTAATATCCAAAGTCCAGAAATAATACAGAGGAGCCACGACATCTATCTAGGAGTCAGAGAACCTTACAGAGTGGGATATAAAAGATGAGTAGCAATGCCCCATCTAAATGGAAGACAACCAAATTGAAATACTTCAAGTGTTACAGCATCCGCATCAGCCTAGGATGTTAACATCATGGTGTGTTTAAGAAACTACAAATAAACAGGTATTAATGAAGCAAAAAGCCTGAGAGGTGGAGAGGGATTGAAGATGATAGGACCAGAAAAGGTACGCCTGAGAGTTTTGTATGCCATAGTAGGGGTCTTTGATTTGCATCCTATTCAAAATGGGGAGTCACTGAAGAGTTTTAAGCCTGAAAATGGCATAAACAGAATTATGTTTTCCATAGACTCCTATGAGGGCAGCATGGAGGTGGATTACACAGAGGGAACCCTGGAGGCCAGGTGACCAGTCCAGTTCTGAGATGTTGTTTTTATCTAGGAGAAAGATGGTACATGTATGAGCTATGTCTGTAGGGAAGGAATGGACGGAGTCAAGAACTAGGAGATAAAACTGATAGGATTTGGTGGTTGAATGCATGGAGAAAGTGAAGAGGAGAGGGGAGAGAACCTTAACAGATGGACAAGTAGAGATAAAACACTAAAAATCCATTAGGGAACTGAAGTGTCAGGGAGAGGCTGTCTGACCTCAGTCCTGATTCTAGGGGCTAAGGTGTCTCCAACAAAGACTTGTGGTGAGTTCCCGGGGTGGAGAGCAAAGCAGGCATGTCAAATATTTCATTTCAAGATATCCATAGGAAAAGAAAATGACATGTACAAAAATATACTCTTAAACTCTACTCAAGAGGGAAAGGAGCCATTTTTCCCCCTGTCCCTTCTTTCAACTCCACATCAAAGCTCAGAAGTTTCTTCTTACTATCCCTCCACCTACTCCAAAGAATATCAGTTTTAATCACCTGATGCAGGAGTCTACCAATTGTAGGTGGCCATGTGGTAAAGAGTTTAGATTTTGCAGCCCATATGGTCTCTATTACAAGTACTCAACTCAGCCATTGCAGTGCAAAAGCATCCATGGACAATAGATAAAGGAATGAGAGTGGCTGTGTTCCAGTAAAACTTTATTTACAAAATTAGGCAGCAGGCTGGATTTGCCCTGTTGGCCAGTTATCAGTTTGTAGCCTAATGCATGACCTTGTGTGTACCCTTGGGAAGGAGGGCTGAAGTGATGCAGAAAGACATTATAGCCTTTAAAACAAACATATATCTTAAAATCCTTTAATGGCTTTCTTTTACCAATAGGATAGAGTACAGGCTCCCTAGCATGGCAGGGAACCTTATCTAACAGTGAGCTATATTCATCTAAATAAAAGTAGGAATAGGGCTGGCCGAGTGGCTCAGTTGGTTAAGAGCTCGCTCAAGAGTTTGAGCTCTGAGCAACAGCGGTTCGAGGCCAGCCCGAGCTGAGCAGCCGCTAAGCTGCCAATAGACAGCAGGATGGCTCAGCTAAAAAAGTAGGAATATGTTTAGAATGGGATAGCCATGCTACTTGCCACATTTACTTTCAAGTGTGTGTTTGTGTGTGTGTGTGTGTGTGTGTGTGTGTGTGTGTGTATGTGTGTGTGTGTATTTGTTGTGGTTAATTATGATCACATTTACTTTCTTATTCTCTTACCCTGCCAGACAAAGCTAAGCTTACATCTTGACATTTTAATTTATATTATTATTGATGATAATGATGATAGCTATCATTTATGGAGGCCTAGTCTCTTCCATTTTATAGACAAAGAAAGCAAGGCTCAGAAGTTGAATAAGCATTCCCCAAATCACAATGCTGCTAAGTGGCAGAGCCAGTATTTGTACTTGGCTATCTATTCAAAGCCTATGATCTTGAACACTGTGCTGTATCCTTAAATAAAGCCCAGAGGGAGAAAAATTACCATACTTCCCCATGTATAGGACACACCTTAATTTTGGGGCCCGAAATTTGAAAAAAATTATATTACATAAAGTTATTGAACTCAAGTTTTATTCATCATAAAATTCGTGCAACTCCTCATCACTGTCAAAAAATCTACAGCCACTGTATAAGACACATCCGGTTTTTAGACCCGAAATTTTTCAGAAAAGGGTGCGTCTTATACATGGGGAAATACGGTATATCAGTAAAGCAACTGGTTGAGCAAATAATGAAAAATTTTCTTGATTTCAACAATAACTTGTTAAAATTTTTGTATGCTAAATTAGGCTATGATATCACATATAGGCTCTATTGGGAAATTATATAAAGAGTATTAAGGGAAATTGTATTTCAGCTGTCATGTAGAATGACTGTCCTTAAATTCTCAACTATCTGGACACTTGAAGAATCTGATCAAGGGTGGACCTGAATACATGTATAGAATTAGAGAGAGAAAAGTCACAGAATTCTGAAAGCAGATTTTTTTGAAGGTCATGTGTATTGGGTAAAGTTCTATAACTCAAAGACATTTTCAAGCGTAATATTTACTTTTGAAAATAGTGTCAGAAAGGCACATACGTTTGAAGCTGATGTTCAAAAACTAGTGTGTGTCCTTTCTTCCCTGGCCAGGCTGAGACACTTTTCCAGCAAATCTGCCCCAACGAAGACTTCTGCCCACCCCCACCAAATCCTGAAGACATCATCCTGGATGGAGACAGTTTACAACCAGGGGCTGTGGACTCCAGTGCTGTACCAGAGGCCAACTCAGAGACTCCCAAGGAAACCACAGACCTGGGAAATACAGAGGAGCCCTCTGTATAATGATGTACACCAAACTGGATATCCCATTTTGGAAATTCCTCCTGGCCTCAGTCTTCTTGATAGAAGAACTGTTTGAAAAATGTTAGAAAGCAGCAGCTAACTGACATGCAGAGTTACCAAAATCTAAAAAGGGATTTTTTTTCCTAAAAGAGGACACAAAATACTTGTAAAGCACATTGACTTGCCTGCTTTAAGATACCAAACCTGTGGAGTTAGCAGATAAAAATTATAAATGAATTGATTCCCAGAAATATAGCTTTGGAGATTAAAGTGATCCTACGCATTGTTAATAATTCTGTGCTTTTACTACAGCTTTTGCTTCCACTTTGGGTCTTTCTTTGAAAGCCACATCTTCAGAATCAGCTCACTTATTTCCTTTGACTATTTGAATTATATTTTCTTCAAGGATATGAGCATCATGACACAAACGATGAAAGCATATGTAAATGAAATTGAGAAAAACTAAAGTGTCATGATCTGGCAAGAGCTTATGTGGCATAGAGGCTTGTTTTGTTTTCTATCTTGACAAGTACTAAAATGCTAATAATTAAAGTAGACATGTTTAAGAAAGAAATCATGAGTTGAGTCCATTACTCAGTGTTTTTTAATGTTAGTGGTGATATTTATATGTGAATCATTTATACACTAGGAAAGCTCAGTACTGAAGAAATGGAAGGAAAGATTTGGATAGACCCATCGGTATTTGGAATTTCTGTCTAGTAAAGTACCTGGAGCACCAGCCCAAGTGTCTGTAAACCTATTGGGTTGTCGGAAAAGTCATGACGCGTTTTTGCAACGAAAAACATAGAAAAAATATGTCATAACTTTTCCGACTACCCAATAATTTAGTCCTGGCTATGCTGATGATGATATTAGGCAAATTGTTTCATTTCTGGGCCTCAGTTTCTCCGTATGTAAGATGGATATAGGAATACCCTGCCTATTCTATGAGAATGATTTTGAAGATACATGCGGTGCCATCTTTAGAATGGTTTTTCTGGAAGAAAAGTTGTTTCAAAATTGTCTTGTTGACTTGGAGGTGACTGTCAAATATCTCATTCAGCAAATAATTGCTGTCAACTCTCCCAACATAATCTCAGTGTTTTTATTAAGCTTTTAAAATAAAACTATTTCCTATATTAGTATTTTATAGTCTTATAGACCAGTAAACATAGTAACATGTGGAATTTTGGTTTTGAATCTTAATAAGGAAAACACTGCAAATTCTTTGGATTTCTTTTACAGTAGCTAAACCTGAAACCACCAAGGACTAAATAGAATATGACAACTGGTAAACCGTAGTATGCACTTAACATAAAATATAGGACTGTACATAAGCAGCAAATCTAGTTACAGCGACAGTGACTATATTAAAAGTTATTCCAAATGCTCTGTTGGTTTACTTGTTTTCAGTAATAGTTTGGATTTAACAACTTACTTCAATACATAAATATATAAAAAGTTTATTGTGGTGCAGCCTGGCTTGTATAGCGGACCAGAGAGCCGTGGCTACAGTAAAAAGCACATAGTTCTTACACACTTCAGCTGCAGTGGGGCTCTCACCTCTCCAGATTTCAGGGAAGATGTAGCTCTGTCAGGTCACAGATTTATGGGAAATGCAAAGAACCAAGGAATGTATCTTTTGCCTCACCTTTCCAACCTCCTGCAGATATAGCGGAATCCAGATGCAAGGAAAACCATCCCAGCCTCTCAGGCTACTCGTTACCCCTCTGCTCACTGTAGAACACCTCCCCTATCTCTTTAGTTCCTTCTTTCCCCCTCTATCCCTTTTATAGTACTATACAAATCAGGGACAATAGAGTTACATTATAACCTACTTTGTTATATGGATTCAGATCTTTCTTAAGTCAAATCATGTTTTCTGAATCCCAACTGGAGCATGCGCTAAATGCACAATACATACCTATAAGCACTGGGTATTGACCCTGCCCCTCAATACCAGCAATATAAAAGGTTCCACTAAATGAGAGTAATAAGTTGAATACAATTGCGGTAAGTTGCACCAATTAAGATATTGTACGTTGTTATAGTCTTAGAGTTAAAGCCTCTTGAATGCAGCATGCACTTTTATGTAAACAGCTAGGGTAGGCCTGGAATAACTAGAAAAATTCTGATAGCTTTATTACAGCTATCTATATGTAGAGCAATGAAAGAGATATTCTGTGGTCTCATGACCAAGCCCATACTGTACCCTATTTCATCTATTGACCAGCATCAGAATCTCTCTTCCAGGTTATTTATTAAATACTGTTGAAATGTTTAAGAACTCCTGAATATGATTAGGGATGATTAAGATAGTACACAACTGTTAGAGAACTTTAGATATTTCCTGTTCCTGTTGCCTCAAAACATCATAGAAATTGTTCTAAGAGCTTTCTTTTCAGCTTTCTTAATTACTGCAAATAAATATTTGTTTTCGTAGTTTTAAGTCAAACTTTTTGGTTATGTTGTAAAATCGTAAGCTTGAAGTCATATAAATAAAGTTAATATGTTGTATGATGCAGAAATTTCAGCAGCTAATTTAAATTTTGAAAACTATTATCAAAGAATTTTGATTCATTTGTTTAAAATGTTTAGTTATGTATTTATGGTTCTTATTAAGCAAAAATGATAATACTATTCAATTCAGTGATTAATAGAAAACCAGTTACTAACCCTATGTGGCTAATGTATTTACCTTTAGTTGGCATGCCTGCCCAGAAAAACAGATATATATAAAATAAACATATATTTTTCTATAGGAAACTAAGTTACAATTTTCCTCATCTCCTATGGTACTTAGTTGTCCGTAGTAAAATGGACATGGTAATGGTTAACTTTAGAATGGTAATTTCTGAGATTGGCAGCCCTTTGTCTAAAATAATGGCCATTCTAATGATTAACTTCTATCACAACTGCAGTTCATGAGAAGGCAGCCCTTTGTCCAAAGTCCTTAAGATCTCAAAAAATTATGTTGAAATTGGATTGCTCAATTGTAACGATCCTTTAAAGCAGAAATTAAACAATTTTCTTAACAAATAAGTTATTGACTACTATATGTATTGAATAATTTATCTCTCTACTCTAGTTAATTTTCTTATATGCATTTCACAAAGCATGAATATATGATTATTCATAATTTGCACACTGTAGCAGTAAGTTTTCAGAGAAAATAAAGTGTTTTAAATGCCTTTTAGAAGTGCTATTCTATATTTTAATGGTAAAGATTTGCTTATGTGCCAAGAAATTAAAGACTGTCTTGGAACTGATTTATTTGTTAGTATCAGTTTATTATTTAAACAATTTTCTAGCTGTATAATTGAATTTGTGTCTAGGCATCTGTCGACTGTGTCAGGTTTGTGGAAAAGGTAATCAAATGATACATGGGTATGCTTTACTTAGCAAACTCTTCTAGATGCCAGCATCAGACCTCATTCTGTTTGAAATCAGTGCTATGAGGCATGGGCTATGGCTTTTACAGTACATTGATTGCCTACAAACTGTTTTTACATTTCACTTGGTGCATGAGAATCTGAAGTTTCTCATCCTTACTTGGTGAGTGAAAACCTGAAATGTTTTTCTCTGGTGTGATTGAGTCTCCAACAGCTTACTTGCAACAGACAAGAGACTGCTGATGTTCTTTTTATGCAGAAACCATTCATTGAACTAGGATTTGTTCTTGAATCAAATAATTGAAGCAGAGTGACATCTTCTGTCAATTTCAAGTATTTTCTAAAGCTTCTCAGACAGGACACATTCAAAAGATAGCAGGACTCTTTCAAAACTGGCAATTTATCTGTGAGATTGTTAATAAATCAAGTTTGACAAAGATAAGGTTAATTGAATTTTTAAACCAGTAGCTGTATTATCCTTCAAGCACCTTGGAGCACATACAATATTCACACTTTTAAAAAAAACAAGCAACTGCTTTGATATGTTTGAATTCTCCTCTTTAATGTTGGCTTTTTAAGAACGCCAATAAGGTGGTTTAACACATAGCATCCCAGGTCACATTTCGAAGACTTTTCTTTCCATTAATGCAGTTTAGCTGTAAGGCTGCCCTGAGATGCCCCTCCCTTACAAGTTGCCAGGTCTGCTCTTTCTGGTGAGGTTGACTCTTAGGACCATTTGACAGGTAATCATTAGAACTTGAATTCTAGTAGACTGTAGGGTCATTGAGCCTATCACTGCAGGGGGATTTATGCTGGTAACTCCTATTAATGTTAATAGGACTTCCATGTGTTAATCCTCCTATCAATGAGACAGTCGACCCCTAAGTGAAATGTTTTTTAGAGATGGACACTTGCGGATCAAGAAGCATTAGTGAATTGTTCTATTCATGATTTTCATGTTTAGAAAAAAAATAGCAAGACTATACCAATTCAGCAGAGGATTTATTTGTAGAGCTAGAAAAGATGAAATACTAGCTCTTAATGTTCTATTCCCATTTTAATATGTATTAGATACGATTTCTCTTTCATCTTATAAGCATAGCATTTTTCTGTTATTTTTAAACAAGAAAAATAATTTTGCCCAGAATTCACTGGAAATCAGATTTTAATGTCAGTAGCATCCTAAAAGTTCTGGAAATAGTGAACATTTTAAAGCTATGCAGTAATGCCCGGTCTCCGAGCAGACCAAACCAGGAGATATATTTTGCTCATCAAGTTGGAAGAAACCAAATGATGGATAATATCCAGAGTGGTGAATGTGTAGAGGAAAAGGCACTCTCATACATTGTGCACATGAATATAAGTTGGTTGTAGCCTTTCTGAAGGGTAATTTGGTAGTATGTATCTAAACTTTAAATACAGATACCTTTTGACCAAGTAGTTCCACTTCTAAAAATCTAGCTTGTGGAAAGTTTTGTACATGTACATAAAAAAACATGATTGCTCGCTTTAGCTTTTTTTTTTATTTTGGAAATAACCTAAATGTTCATTAAAAGGAGAATGGCTTGGGCTGGCCAAGTGGCTCAGTTGGTTAAGAGCATGAGCTCTGAGCAACAGGGTCACTGGTTTGATTCCCACATGGCCAGTGTGCTGCGCCTGAGCTGAACTTCTGCTAAGCTGGTGAAAGCGCGTGCTCTTAGCAGCAAGGTTGCCAGTTCGACACCCACATGGGATGGTGGGCTGTGCCCCCACTCCCCCACAACTAGATTGAAAGCTGCGACTGGGCTTTGAGCTGAGCTTGTGCCCTCCACAACTAAGTTTGAAGGACAACAACTTGGCTTGGAGCTGATGGGTCCTGGAAAAAACACAATGTTCCCCTTCCCCAATTCCCCAACACTGTTCCCCTCCCCAATTCCCCAATAAAAAAGAAAAAGGGAGAGTGGCTTAAATTGTTAATGCATGCGTTCTATAGTATAGAATACAGCTGCAAAAAAAAGAGGATATATATATGTGGTACATCTCCAATTTAAAACTCTAGTCACAGACTAGGTATATTAATTATATAAAAAGAAAACAAAACCCTATTTGTGTTACATATACATATCAGAGAAAAAGTTTGGGAAGTTTATATACTAAACTGGTAACTGGTTACATTGGAAAGAGATTGGGATTGGTGGGAGGGAGAATAAAAGTACTTTAATTTCTAATTCTACATAAAATTTTTTAGAATTTTAATAAGTAGCAAGTATTTATGTATTATCTCATGAAAAAATGTGTTTAGCAAGCCAAACCAAATTCCTGCGTGGTATGTGAGACCACCAAAAATAGTGACTTCAGACATTGGATTACATTAATGTTTTATAAAGTGCAATTAAGATATGACAGGTGACTAGTTAGATAAACCATGATACATTCATTAGAATGGAATACTGTGCAGCTGTTAAATTGAATTAGGGAAATATATACTGTTCTAGTGTGATCTCCACAACATATTATTAAGGAACCAGGCACCCTATACACAAAAGTATGTATATAATATCTGCATTTTGTGTAAAAAGGGAAGTAGTATTAAAAGACATACATATTTAGATGGTTATCTATTGGGAAAAGGAAGAGGCAGGGCACAGAAATGGAAGCTAGGCCTCTTCGAATGTACCTTGTCTTACAGTTTTAACTTGAAACCAAAAACAATCCCTAAAATGTAAAAACAAACTAAAACCATTGAAGATAATCATATATTGAATGTTAGCATAACCATATGGAGAAGAATTATTTTAGGTAACTAAAGCACAGTATTTATACATTCTAAGGGGTTGAAGTGGGGTACACAGCACAAAGTAATTTTATTCAGTGGGCTTGGTGAGAGAATAAGAAAAAGATAAAGCAAAGATAAGAAAAAACCCTGTGATGTTGAATTTTAATTAGATATATCAGTAGGAATTCAAGATGCATTTTTCTCATTCTCAAAAGTATGTATTTGCTAGCTAGGAAGCTGGCAAAGGCTGTTAGTGTCATCTCCAAAGGACATCATAAGCAACTCAAAGAGGCTCCCATTGGCCATTGATGAGACCATTTAAGAATCAAGAGTTCGTAATGATACTCCAAAATAGCAAACAAATTTCATTGACCAGACATAAAGATTGCTAGAGCACAACCCTTTATTCTAGAAACTAATACAAAGAAGCAAATATCCTATCTTTTCTGTAAAAACTGTTATTCAGGGTATCCAAATGTTGAAGGAAAGTTTTTGTACAAGAATGAGAATCACAATAAATGCATGAAAAATGACAGAATTACAAAAATCACTTTTGTAAACCCAATACAGTAATGGACCTAGGCAATGATTATCAATGGCTGCTAAAACCTTTAGTTGAAAGGTTGATGCAGACATCACCTGAACCTACTGATCAATGTTAGAATCACTCCAAGTAGAAAATCAGATGTTATAAGTCTCCTGTGTTGCAATAGGAAGAACACAGCATTAACTGGGAAAAATTTTCACCAAAAAAACAAACAAACACATTCAACTTGAACATATTCAAGCCTCTATATCTAACTGCCAATTTATAGACACCCAAGGGGATAGAAGAGCATATTAAATGATACCACAAAGATAAAAATGTATAAATTTCTACAGAACAAATGACTGTATTTTATCAACAATTAACTGGCACAGAAAATAATGGAGCCCCGTTACAGATTAAAGGAGACTTTAGAGACGTATCAACCAAATGCAACATGCTGACCTTGTTTAGACCTTGTTTTGAATAAATTAATCCTTTTTTAAAAAAAACAAAACAAGAAATCGTTTAGAGACAATCAGACGATTGAACATTTCCTGGGTGCTAGCTGATATTAAGGAATTCATTTTAACTGTTTGGTGTGATAATGTTAATTTTTAAAGGCATTTATCTGTTAGAGATTTTTTAAAACATAGGAAGCAAATATAACCAAATGATAACAATGGTTAAACCTAGGTTATTCTATATGGTAGGTTGTTGCTATTTTGTATTTTTGTGTTTAAAAGTTTGCATAGTAAATTTTTAAATGACAGGTAAACCCTACTGATTGATAATAATTAACTATAGATACTATCTTACTTTACAACATGACTACTCGGCCATATTTCTGAAAAGGAGGACTTACAGGATTCAGTTCTGTCTTGTACATTTTGTTTTCCAATGTTTTGAAACCATGGGCTATAAAAATCACATATTTAAATTTATTTCCTTTGGTTTATGGCTTCTAGAGTCACAGAGAAAGAGCCTTGCTGAGCAGCCTCTTTAGCAGAAGGGCAAGTTCAGAATAAATAAACATGTTTACAGAGTCTTTCTTTCTCTCTCTCTCTCTCTCTCTCTCTCTCTCTCTCTCCCCCCTTCTTCTCCTCCTCCTCTTCCTCCTCCTCCTTCCTGCCTTCCCTCCTTCTGTCCCTCCTTCCCTCTCTCCCTCCCTCTCTCATCTCTATCTCTATTTCTTTCTTTAATTAAAAAATGAAAAAAAAGGAAATAGCATTATTGAGTCCCATGGAGTGGGAAAATTTATATTTTTGCATCTTAAATAACCTACTTTATTATGTACTTTGTTGATTAGACAAATATCAACAATAAAACTTTTTTTAATGCTTTTTAACCTCTTAAATTATCGAGGCGTTTTTTTTTTAGATGTTGCAACATGGACACTGCTATTAATTTGCAACATGAAACCTCTCTGGTGCCTGTGTACATTTGGCCTTGTGACCGCTATTCCATGGGAATCTGTTGAATATATATATTTTTTAAGAAACAAAATTGAAAGAAACAAAATTGAACAATATAACATGCCCCTATTGTCCACACCTAATATCCAACCTTTTTTCAATTTTAAAAATGTAGTTTAAC